CTACATCTGAGGAAGTTGCTTGAGAACTCCGAAGGCAAAAAGGCAGGGAGAAAGGGTGGGAAAGTCTCAAAGGGCTTCCTCTGATGTAGGGGGGAAAGCCCTTTGAGCCCTCCGAAGGCACTGATCGCTCCGCTCGCAAAAAATGGCATTGACTTGCGAATGGAGCCTCAACCTCATTCGTAGGTCAAGGCTCCGTTCACAAGTCGATGCCAATTTTTGCGAATGGAGCCGTTCGTAAATTGAAAAGTTTGTATGCAGGGACATACGTAAGTCGAGGGTTGACCGTAATTTCCTACTCAAAGCAGGAGACTGGAGGAAGACTCTTTCTTTCCTATGTGGCCAGGAAGAACAGAGCTAAAGCAGGTTGCAAGCTTGGGCAAAGTTTTGAAGCTGCAAATAATTTTGTCACTGTTTTTACTTTTTAGTTTGAAAGAAAACTTGGGCTCATCTTGCTCCACAGAGCCGACCTCTCTCACCATGGTGCAGGTGACAAATGAGATTACTGAACTCTGATGACGTATTCAGCACTTATCATATTGTACTCAGTGAGAGCACCAAAGAGTGTGATGGACTAGGACGGGGGTCTCCAAACTACAGCCTGTGAGCCAGATCCGACCCACCTTGCCTTTTTATCCCAGTCCTGTGTGGGGCAGCCCTTCTGAAACCACCTACTTTCCTCTCTATGGTACTCACAGCAGCTGTGAGATGATTGGTGTCAGAGGCATCAAGTTCTTGTCAGAAGCGTGGCCTGGCAAGGGGGGTGTTGGCATGCGCAGTGGCCACCGAAGAAAGGAGGTAGAGCAGGTGAAAGGGCCTGCTAATGGTGACGCTGACAACGGCAGCAGCAGCAGCTGTTATGACTTGGGTCAGTGTGTAACATGGTGCCGCCGGGGCCACCTGTAGGGGTGGAAAGGGAGGTGGCAGTAGAGGCTCCTTCTCAGGAGAGGGAAGCTGGAAATGGTGGTGGCTTGGAGGGAACCATATTGGATGCTTTTGGTGGTGGCTGTGATACCTGCTAGTGGGCGCTGAGGGGCCCACCCCTGCTCGGGCCACTGGTGGGTGGGCAAGGGAGTAACAGGCAATCTCTCAAGAGGTGCTGCTCCGAGGGGTCGGCGTCGCAGAGCCAGGGCTGAGGCACCAGCCAGGGCAGGTGCGAGGTCTCTCCCTCCAAGGTGGGGCTTGGCTCCCTTTGTGTGGGTCTGTATTTCTGCCTCCCTGCGTGTCACATCCGGATAACCTGGAGCACATCTGTGGCTCCTCTGTCTGCCCTTCCTGGTGGGAAAAGCCTGAAGGTTTCACCTTGTGAGGATTCCTAGAAATAGTCTTCTTCACACTCAGTATCTCGGCTTTAGGGGCGAACCCAAGGGTAAAGCCTAAAAATGAGGAGCCCAGACCTTTACAGATGAAAAGGACTTTGCAAAACCACTGAGATTTGAATATCAGAAAAGGAAGTCACTTATAGCAGCTGTTGTTATCATCTTGATCGCCTTAATTCTTTATCAGCCCCATTTAGTTTAAAGAAATCAAAGTTTTTGTGGCTTTTGAATATTTTAAGTTTGCTGAATGTGAATGGAGAGCCACGGTCAGAAAGGTTTTCACTCTGAATTAATTTTTCTCTGATGTATTAGATATGTAGTATACAGCTTTATGGAGAGGATATCATTTTCCCATCCATCTGTTTTTCATTAAGGACATTCTGGAAAAGAGAGTGTGTCTTACTTTTTAAGAGTTTGTGTTAGACAAGGATTGTGCTCTCTCTCAGCTACCTGCCACGGGGAAACAACGAAGCTCCCACCCTTCCCCAGGCTTCTCTTTCTCTCTCTCTGGCTTGAATGGATGCTTCTTATTGGTGGTGACATTATGCAGGAAAGATACAGACCCTGAGAGGGATGGTGGAGCCTCCAGCACTGGAGGGAATTTCCTAGGGAGTCAATGCCATGGAACATTAATGGGGCTTTAAATCACAGTAGAGACGTCTAGGGTTGCAATGAACATGCTAGAAATTAAAAAAGAGATAAAAACTTCGCTTTTTTAAATGAGGGAATATGTCTTTGTCTTCAAATTAGGTTGAGGGGGAATATGATTCAGGAGGACCCTGGGGACTCAGAAAAGCTTTTACTGCAGAGATATAATCTGAAGTATTTTGTTTCTTAATGGCATTTGCAATTGTATACCTAAAGTGACAATACTAAGGCTGTAGTCATACAGGAGGTAGCCCTGTTAATATGTGCATTCTAGATAGAAATAAATTTGATGAGCATGTTCAGTCCATTCTAATAACTGGCTCCTCAAGCTTGAAACCTGAGTTCGGCAATATTTTGAAATTAAACAAGCAGTTCCATCGTTCCCATTAATATTGTAGTATACAAGTTTGTAGATCCAATTAAAACGTATTCATTCATTATAAAACTGTTATACTTTGGCCCTCGAAAATGTGTAAAATATAGGATGTGACCCTCATACTGAAATGTTTGGAGACCCCTGGACCAGGACATAAGAGACCTGAGTTTAAAATCCCTGCTCAGCCATGGAAACTCACGGGAGCGGGGGTATGGAACTAGTAAAACCGTTCCTTAAATATCTCACTTGAAATCCCTATTAGGGTTACTGTACGTCAATTCCAACTTGATGGCACATAGGACTTATAGAAGTTTATATTATTTCTAAATAATCGGTTGGTGGTTGTTTTGCAAATCTTCTTCTTGGTGATCTTGGTCACATTCTGAAATCAATAAAAAGCCACTGCAACTGTGATTTGTACAAACTGCAGTCAGAAATTTTTACATTTCCTCCTCACAAGCATAAAGATGGAAAGGTGGGGGGGGAGGTATAAGCATATTCTCATGGTGTGGTTGTATCACTGAATGCAAGTAATAGGCAAAATCCAAAAGGCACCAAGGTTTCTGAGATTCTCCTTTGTCATGAGACTCAATAGAAATGAAATTCTACAACCACACATACTGAGGCAGAGTCTACTTACGCTTCATTAAGGGGAACAAAAATAAAATCTTTTTCAAAGATATCAACATGTCGTGTCCATGTTTTCACTCGGCCATGGCGTTTCTGCTGGATTCTGTGGATACATCAATAGAAAATAAACTATTTATAAAATTTCTGTTCACATTTAGGGGACTATGTGGTTTCTTCTTCAATTAATGAGGGATCAAATACTAGCATAATCTTGCAGCATAACATGTCTGATGATCAGGGCCTTTCTTGCACCTTGTTTGAGAATAAACAGTATCTTTGAAAAATGTACAATGTTAAGCAATTTTCCAACAGCTGATCAGGTTCATATGTAAATTATTATTTAACCTTATGTGCAGCAGCCTCTGGCTTCTCACACTCTCTGCTCCCCTCGCTTTCTCTAACAGAACAAATAAGATTAGATTTGCTTGCACTTATAATTAAGTATGGACCTATTACAGTACTTAACTGTGGTTTCAAAGCCTTCCCAATTTAGGCTTCCTAGATGTTGCTGGAGTACAGTTCCCACTACCCCAGCTAGCATGGTCAATGAGCATCAATGATGTAAGTGGAAGTCCATCCATATCTGGGGCTTTCATTTGGAAAAGACTGGTTTGGAGAAAACAAGTCATGGTTGTAAACCTTAATTTGAACATTGCTTCTTCAATTTAACTATAATTAATATAAACCACCCCTTCATGGATTGCTGCCTTGTTGTGGCGAAGGGGCTTGAGTAACTCAGAGAAGCTATGGGCTATGCTGTGCAGGGACACCCAAGACAGACAGGTCATAGTGGAGAGTTCTGACTAAACGCAATCCACCTGGAGTAGGAATTGGCAATGCAACTCCAGTATCTTTGCCAAGAACACCCCATGATCAGAAACAAAATGCTAAAAGATATGACGTTGGAAGATGTGCCCCTCAGGTCGGAAGGCATCCAACATGCTACTGAGGAAAAGCGGAGGACAAGTACAAGTAGCTCCAGAGCTAATAAAGTGGTTGTGCCAAAGCCAAAAGGACGCTCAGCTGTGGACGTGCCTGGAAGTGAAAGGAAAGTCCGATGCTGTAAAGAAAAATACTGCATAGGTACCTGGAATGTAAGATCTATGAACCTTGGTAAGCTGGATGTGGTCAAAGAGGAGATGGCAAGAATAAACATTGACATCCTGGGTGTCAGTGAACTAAAATGTACAGGAATGGGCGAATTCAATTCAGATGATTATCATATCTACTGTTGTGGGCAAGAATCCCATAGAAGGAAAGGAGTAGCCCTCATAGTCAATAAAAAAAGTGGGAAAAGCTGTAATGGGATATAATCTCAAAAATGATAGAATGACGTCAATACGAATCCAAGGCAGACCTTTCAACATCACAGTAATCCAAGTTTATGCACCAACCACCAGTGCTGAGGAGACTGAAATTGACCAATTTTATGAAGATTTACAACACCTTCTAGAACTGACAC